GTTGAAGTCCACTCATCTTAAAGTGGCCAAGTTTGCACAACACTGCCTTAAGGCATCTATTTCCCCCCTTAAAACTACCCAACCATCCTAACAAAAAAGGACCCCAAAATGGCACAAGGTGGGGTCCTAGTCCTCCCCTCTGAGTTGTTAGGAAAATGATGCTGGGAGATCCCACTGGCATTTTTCTGAGCATCCTAGCTCTACTGGGAAAAAGGCAAGCAGCTGTATTTTCTGTCCTGTGTCACCAACAGTAACTTCTGAATAGCGGTGCTGGAATTCACTCAGCACCTAGGCAGTTTCCCTTCCACTGCGCTACAACCACTTTTGAGGGAGAAGCAGCAAACTTCTTTTAAAAAGACAGAAAACACCACCACCTTATTATCGTATTAAATAGTCTCCTGTGCAATACGTAATTTGCTAGTTGTAGCCGATTCCTTTTGTCATTTCGGTCAAGGAGGTGTGTGTCTGTGTATTTGTTTCACAAAGTTAGCATGACCTTACAAGTAAATCCATCAACTATTTTTCATAGATAGCAATGAGTCACTCTATGAATATACAGATGATATTTTGGCTTGGTTCATCTTTGATTTCTGTGGATGTAAAAGGCCAAATTTTTACATTCCCTGCAAATCATATCAAGTGACATACAGCATTCCTTTAAGGATAAGTCAGTAAATTCAGCTGCTATTTTGTCAAATGATCCACATATGTATGTGAACTGCCCAGTCCTAGGAAATACACTTAAAAGAAAAATACACATATGAACTAAAGTAAAATTGGTACTTGGGAGTGGTTATGGCCCAAATGTATGTTTGTTTTTTAAAAGTGGTTCAGTGCCAAAGTATTCCTCTAGAACTTTCATTCTCTGCTATTAAATGAAGGGCTGGAAAAAATATTTAGAACATGTTCTCATAGGCAAAAGAGTGTTGCATGTTCTGTATTAAATAGGAGGTTCTACCTAATCAGTATTTATGCAGAAACTGCACCTTTAATTCTGTACAGTAGGGGGAATATCAGCAATTCATCAGCTGTACCTGTGTATAAATACCAAATTCATTCTCTAAGGGCCTATACTTACATAGGCAAAACAGAATCATCAGTGTAGAACAGGAGGCATCAAGTTGGTGTGGCAGAATTCCAGTGTTTGCAAAAATATAAAAACTTTAAATCAGAGGGAAATACCCCTCTCCACTGAGGGGTACCCAATGTACAATGGACCCAAAATAGTGAAAAGGAGGTTGCAGCTGACCCCAGACCCACCCTAAGCTTTGCCCAAGGAAGGCTTTTCAAGTTAAGAGAATTTGAACCACATTAATCATCACTAGGCAACTTGGTCTTATGAATTCTCTTCAGTCATTGTATTCAAGATGAAAGCTGTATTTCAGAGCTGTATTTGATTAGATGGAGGCCCAGTTTGCAGTGACTTTATTATTCAGTGGTATAATGCTGGAGGTGCAAACTGACCATGTTTTCCTTCATGTGGTCGCAGGAACCAATGATGCTAATGTCATCATTGAGGAAACTGAATAATAACCATTGGCTTGTGCAAATAGCATCTGGCAAAAATAATTGCAATGGCATATTTCCTGTAGATGCCACTAACGTGCTCCTCCTGAGCTCACAAGGAAGGCAGGCAAAAGCAAAGAGAGGAACGGCTTCACATATCCAAGGATCAGACTTTTCCTTCTCGCAAACCCAAAAAGGTTCATTTCCAAGTGTAATTCAAACACTCATATGCAAATGTTGTACAGCAGGGCTAATACTGTACAAACTACGGCTGAAAGTTTCTACAGAGGGCACATTTGGCTAGTTTTTCCCCCTTGCAGCAGCCTGTATGGAAAGGCATCGGCACAGGGATGTGCAGCTTTTGAGATGTTGTGAGCTACAACCCAAACCCCTGAACTTATGAAGACCTTCAGAAGATGTTTAGTTGACTTAATTTGTTTGCTTGACTTTTTAGTTTTAGTTTTTTTTTTTTTTTTTTAAGAATGTAATGGGAACACAAGACCTTGGGGAGATCATCTGTTTTCATTTCCATCCTGAACACCCCCCCGTCCCAGAAAAGACCCAAATAGCTTGAATCATGGGGCCAAAATTCAGCAGCTAAAACACTAAAATCAGTAGTAAAATTTCAGACTAGTGGTTTTGGAGGGGGGGGGGGTTTAAAGGTTTCAAAACATTCATGCCACCAAAAATCTGCTATTTACTGTTGAACTTTCATAAACTGTCTCAGAGAGCAGGGAGTCAACCTGTAGGCCATGGTCTATAGGTTACTCACCTCTACCTAAAGATATATAGCAGTGTTTCTCAACCTTGGCAACTTTAAGACGTGTGGACTTCAACTCCCAGAATTCCCCAGCCAG